TTCCCCTAGCTGCTCGAGATAGAAAGATAGAAATAGAGAGAGAGAGAGAGAGAGAGAGAGAGAGAGAGAGAGAGAGAGAGAGAGAGGAGTCTCTCGAGTCTCGAGCGATGTCCCTTTTTTATTTTATTTTCGCGGCCTGGCAGGACAAGGACGCGCGTCATGTACACGGGGAGTCGCCGGGGCGTTCCTATTAAAACGTCGGGACGGCCCTTGGCGAGGCTAATGCTGTCCAAATAGTCGACACCGCCGGGACTCGGCTTTGTTGGAGGCCGCGGCTGCGGGGAGGGGAGGACAGCTGCGCTTCAGCAGACAAGAGCCGACAAATAGACGGCCCTATCAGTCATCGGCGGCTCGTTGAGCTCGAGGAAAGTATACCGAGCATTACCTGGGCCCTGCTCGCCAATGCTCACTTTTCTCCTTTTCGCGCTTCGGCGATACGCGCGCACCCAACGAGAACCCTTCCCTTCACTCATCCTCCTCTTCCTCATCCCGCTCACCATCTCATTCTCATCATCGTCATCGTCCTCGTCCACGTCCACGTCCTCGTCTTCTAAGATTGGCCTCTTTATCTCCAGATTATTGACTCGGATCAAGCGAACATTCTACTAAATTATTGTTTGCCCTGACACGCAGGATCACAAAAAATTATACAAATATTCGTCTCCAACCCCTGTTGCCGAGGCTGCCGTCACCGCCGTCACCGCCGTCACCGCCGTCACCACCGTGACCACCGTCACCATCGTCACCGCCGTCACCGCTTTTAACGCCGCCGCCGTCGCTGCTCTTCTCTTATTTGTCCTACTGAATTATGAGGCTGCTAGGCTACGTCGGTACTCGCTTTGACGCTCACATTTATTTGCTCTTAATTGTGCCCTTAATCGAGCACTCTCACAAAGGCCTTATAAATATGGTGAGCGAGCCGGGCACAATCTCCGCGCGCGCTCACTTATTCGCAACAGCTGGCCAGTAATTCCGAATCACTTTCTTCCCCGACTGCCGAACAATGGCTAACGGGCGCGTCGATCTCTTCGAGTCCTGGCGCACCCTTTCCACGATTGGCATCTTTTTTTTCATTTTTCTTCCCTTTTTTTTCACTTATTTTCCATTCCCCCGCCCCTCGTCCCTTAATTTTTTTTTTTTTTTTTTTTTTTTTTTTTTTTTTTTTCTGGATATGGCGACTTCGATACACTTTCGAATTGCAAGGGGGACGAGGAAGTGACGCGGTGCGCTGGCGGCGAAACGAGACGGATTCCTAGAATATCGCGCAAGCTTAACGCACTTCGATCAAGCGAGTTGACGGATTGCGCTTCCTGTCGATCGCTTACACGCGCGAGACGAGTGGACGTCAGCCGGAGAAAAAAGTATAAGCTGCGCTATAAGTTGCTAGTTGGAAATATCAATAATGATGTCCCGACTTGTCCAATGTGTCCCCGGACGCACACGTATCTTTCTCATCCATCATCGACTGGTTACTATTTAAGCCGCAGCGCGACGACATTAATTTATCGTTAGGAAGGAATGGTTGCGCGAGAACGCAGAACAATGCCGCGAGTATGCCTACGCTGACACTGATGCATCGATTTTCTTCTTTTATCTGGCAATATGTGGCTCGGCGGTTTGCTTATTTTACCAGTTGCTACAACATGCCCGAGTGGACCCTGGACTCCGCTCCGAGGATTATATTGCAGTTGCCGCTTACAAATTGCCTCATAGCCACGTACAAAAATACACTTTATGTAAATTTCACGATTATACGGGAGAAACAGATTTTATAAGCCATCGCGTACCTTTTCGAGCATCCCTTACCTGCAAAAATAATTTCACCACTTACAATTTACATAAAGCTCCATTACTATTACTGCGCGTGTACGTCTGAAAAATAAAGCTTCATATATCCGGGGCTTGGCTTTAAAAGAAATTTAAAAGTCAGCGTGGAGGAGGTGGGTTAGCCGTGTCAACATTTATTAGACAGCAATGTGTAAATAAGTATTAAGCAACGATTATCCGATTTATCCGATTTATCCGGCTATCGATATTCTGCCCTATCACTAGGACATTTTCATCCGGCCATTCGACATTCTTCATCCCAACCTTAACCGATCTAATAATTATGCTTTCAATTAGCTGTTGTCGAGCGTTTTCCATCAAATACGAATGCATAAAGAATCAAAAATATTTAGCGCCGAGAAGAGATATAATCGAATAATCGTGACATTTACAAATGTATGACAAACGTCCTGAGTTATAAATCCCTCCTACTGACTTATGATTTTTCTTCATGCTTCAATGACGGTTTCCCATTGAATTTTATTACTTACAATTTACACGTGTATGCCCCTAATACACAATTAATCCAATACAAACGTTTTCATTCACAACCATTCGTATGGCTAATGCACGACGTAGTTAAGGATTTACATAAGTTCTTACATCTATCTAAAGACTATTATAAAATAGCATATACGTCAAAGTGATCTTTCAACATTATCGTCGAATCATTCTAACCCTTTCAATTATCATTGGGTTTTTGAGAGTTTGTGCTACATCAGCGAGTACTCTAAGTTTATCATTGCAAAATCAAAGGATATTCGCTTATGAACGAATGATTAATTTCACCATTTGTCCTGTAGCATAGGCTGGTTATTTTTTTTTTTTTTCTTTTTATTCTTTCTTTTTTTTGACAACCCTAATAGCCGTTCACTCGATATCCCATTTAGAATAAGGAAATAATAAGTTAAAATAGAATTCCATACTCGCCATCTTGTTCATATATCGAATAATGTCCTTTTTTCTAATTTCACGTATCGAACACGGCAGCACAATGGCTGTCATCCCGTTATTCAATGCGAATCGAATCAATTATCACATTACAGATCAGGATCCGTAAGGTATGGTACGTTCCATACAAAATACAAGCACACGCGCGCCCAAATACAATCTTAAATACC